GATGAAACATTTGTATGTGATCCATTGATTGTTGTTTGGGCATTTGACTTCTTTTGGTTCTTAGATTATTTGAATGTGAGTTTTAAGTTAAGGGACAAGTTTGTATGTAAATATTTATTAGCTTAACTCAAGCTCAAAATGAAGCTATATATAATAACACGATTGAGCAAAAATTTGATATAAATTGATAAATGATAAAAATATACTTAAGTATATGATAAATATGCATACCTATGTATGTTGAAGTATGTACAAGTATTTTGTATTTTTATATACAAAATTCAAGAACTGCAGGCTAACGGAACATACAAGCATTTGAATACATTTCAATTGTATATGTTTGTATTCTTGTGTAAACTATAAAAACAAAACAAAAAATAGATAAAACAAAAACGGACTAAGAAAAATGAAATTTCGAACGAATCGAAAAGCATTCGAGAGGCAGAAACCAACAAGAACTAAAGAGATTAATTTAAAATGGGGCTTAGCTTAGAACATTTACTAACTAACGTACTTACGTGTGGTGTGGAATTTGAGTTGTTGGGCATCTCGATTTACATATACATTGGTTACTTTTGCTGGGTAGTCGTACTTATATATGCATATGGAATATATAGAGACCATATTTCATAACATGCTTGAAAAGCTACTAAACTAATTCAATACATAATAATAATAATAACAACAACAAAAATAACAAGAGTCTCTCCCTTTGACGTTGATATTCTGTAAACCTAGGCTAAAGCAAAGTGCATAATATACAGAAAAACCAAAAAATCGAATATAACAAAATGAAAACAAAAGAAGAAAAGAAAATATGATTATAATATTCCACATCTTTAGGCTACTTTAAAAACTTTATATTTATTGTAAATGGGATTTGGAGGATGGTTGGTCAGTTTACTTGTGACGCTGATGATTTTGATGAATGAATGAGAAATATTTTTAACGGACATATTTCTACATACGTGTTAACATAAGTGCATACATATACATATAAATCAAGAAGCTAACCCTCCTATCCCACTCTCTCTCCCTTCCCCACCCACATAAAAACTGCATGCTTAGCTTAAGTCTTAAGGCAAACGCACGTCCTTAATTGAGTACGTACAAGCATACGCACACACACACACACATACACATACACAGAAGGAGACACACACACATACAGATGTATATTCAAATCTGTTCATTGAGTGTAAGATTTTCAACTTGTAGCATTTGAATTGATTGACTTTTTTATGGAAATTTACACAACACAAAGTGTGGGATTTGCACTCAATGAAAATTGCATATACGTGTGCGTGTGTGAATGTGTGTGCGTGTGTTTGTTGTTTCTACACATTTGTCATAGAAATCATATTACAAAAAAGATACAAGTACTAGACAAAGAATTGATTGTATTGAGGTGGCAATGGTAACTAAGAAATTTTTTAGATAATTAAAAACAAAAAACCAGAAAAAAAAACAACAAATGAAAAAGTATCTATGTACACCTAAATATATATATATATATATATATGAATATATATATATTTAAAAAATAATATAATATAAATAAAAATATATTAAAAATAAAAAGTGATTTTTTCTTTTAAAAATAAATACCATTGCGATTGCTTGCAGATATATTTAAACTTGACTGAGGTTTGTAATTGTTCATATGTGTATGTGTGTGTGTGTTTGGCTGCTATATACTCGTATACAGTTACAATTGGATTACCAAGCCCTCAGTGGAAGACTGAAATCAGCAGCATATTACCAAAACAAACAGATACGAGTATGACACATTAGAGTGGACCAAGGACATGATTGGAGGCCCATTTGTTAATTGAGAAATTTAATAAGATAAATTATTTAAACTGTTACCAAAGCTAGTTAAGATAATTCTACTTTATCAATAATGCCTGCTAAAGAAAACTTTTTATTGAATATTTATAGCAACAAATCAATATGGAAACGCATCGAACCTAGACTAATCACAACTACTGGTCTATTCCTATATAGTTTTCATGTCTGCTGTATTCTTCTATATACTGTTTAAGGGCGGAAGTGTGTGGGGTCTTCCGCTATACCAAGCTAAGAAGCCGTATAGTTACCAAAATCAGCTTTCTTGCTATGAACTTGGGCATGGCCAGCGTTTCCTGAATCTGTTTTCACCTGCTGCACGAACTGTGGATCGGCCCAATGTCGATGTCGTCTATAAACCTACATATGTAGTAGTTGCGGTGCATGCGCCTTGCCACCAGTGTCAAAGCCACGGCCAGCACCTCCATCCGCCGATTCAAGTGTCGTCCAAATATTATATGTTCACTGCAAACAGAATACACAACGTTTCGGACTCTTGTCGAGCAAACAACTTTCACAACTATTAATTTAAAACAAAAAATTCTTCCTCTGTCCATCCAAACAGAAATCGGGAAACTAAATCCCGATTCAAATATTTAAGCAAGCAACTCTGGATAATATATAAAAGGATAAGCCAGCAGCTAAAATTGACTTACGCACATCACAAAACTTAGAAAAGATTCTTCATAATGGAGTGCTGCTTATCGGAAGAGGCCAAGGAACAGAAGCGTATTAATCAGGAAATTGAAAAACAGCTACGCCGTGACAAGAAAGATGCTCGCCGCGAACTTAAACTGCTTTTACTGGGTGAGCTTTATAGGTTAACAACTTAGTCGGAAGACCGAAAGAAAAACTAAAATTTAAAAAGATTGAACCCATTGTGCACTCAAATTGCTCGACTACCCAATGAAGCCATGTGGATGCGCCTCTGAGGGAGGGTTATTTATACTATTGCTATAATTATATGAATGTTCTAGTAGGGAAGGGTTGGCACAAGGCCCTGTCTTATCTATCTTTTGATAGAGTTTTTTTCTTATTTAAACAAATGTCAACTACACATTTACTACATTTAAAAAATTAAAAGATAAAAGATTAAAAAAGGCATGGTGACACAAAATTTCACAAACGTGCACGTAACTAAGAGAAATATAATTTATATATATAATAATAGTTACATTGGTGGTAAAATTTTTCAACCAGCGCCTCGAGGTATGCAATGTAAATCTCCGCTTGCTCTCAATATGTGCGCTTAGAAGTATGCAATGAAAATTATAAGACTATACAAGCAAACCACATTTTTTTTGCAAATTTTAAATAAGATCTCAGTTATAACCAGCAATAGTTAAAATTTTAATTTTAAATTTTTGCAGGTACTGGTGAATCTGGGAAATCAACTTTTATCAAGCAAATGCGTATTATTCACGGCAGCGGCTACTCGGACGATGACAAGCGTGGCTATATTAAGCTGGTGTTCCAAAATATATTCATGGCCATGCAGTCAATGATCAAAGCCATGGATCTGCTCAAAATAGAATATGGCGCACCAGAGATTCGCGTAAGTGCCTACCTTATATATATACGTGTATATGTCCATAAATATATGTTCTAAATTTATAGGAATGTGGTGAGCTGGTGATGAGCATTGACTACGAATCTGTTACAAGATTGGAGGATCCATTTTTGAAGGCCCTCCATTCTCTTTGGGATGATGCTGGCATACAGGAGTGCTATGATCGCCGAAGAGAATACCAGTTAACGGATTCTGCTAAATAGTGAGTGCAACTGAAACTCTTATATATGTATGTGTTATATTAACAACAATTTCCCTGTAGCTATCTGAGCGATTTGGCGCGTATTGAGCAGGAAGACTATTTGCCCACTGAACAGGATATTCTGCGTGCTCGTGTGCCTACAACTGGAATACTGGAGTATCCATTCGATTTGGATGGCATCGTCTTCAGGTATGGACATTAAATTGAAAATCTTTTTATTAACTAAAATTAATTATAGAATGGTGGACGTTGGTGGTCAGCGCTCCGAAAGAAGAAAGTGGATTCATTGCTTTGAGAATGTTACCTCGATTATATTCTTGGTGGCGCTTTCTGAATATGATCAGATCTTGTTTGAGTCTGACAACGAGGTGATGTTAACTAGACTTATCAATATATTTATGAATCAAACTTTTCTTCATATTTTGTATTTAGAATCGTATGGAGGAATCGAAAGCATTGTTTAGAACCATAATTACATACCCGTGGTTCCAAAACTCATCGATTATTCTATTTATGAACAAGAAAGATTTGTTCGAGGAGAAAATCATGTATTCGCATATGGGTGACTATTTCACTGAATATGATGGTGAGCAATAGGTCAAAGCTTTTTAAATATTATTAATAAGGTTCCTTATTACAGGTCCAAAACAAGATCACGCAGCAGCGAAGCAGTTTGTGTTGAAGAAATACTTGGCCTGCAATCCCGATCCAGAGCGTCAATGTTATTCGCATTTCACCACAGCCACAGGTTAAACCCTTAATTGGTAGTTTTATTTATTTAATTATTTCTTTTATGTTTGCAAACAGATACTGAAAACATCAAGCTTGTGTTCTGCGCTGTCAAAGATACAATTATGCAAAATGCACTTAAGGAATTCAACTTGGGTTAAATGCGATCTTGAATGGCAGAGCAATCACCTAGATATCAATGATATAGTTTTTAAACAACACCTTGACTTCTCAACTAAATGTTTGCTTTGTTTTATCTAATTTTAAATATACTCCAATTGTCCATAGATTAGGTGTAAAATTCTTTATTTCAAACTTATCTTTTATATCTAAGCTAAAGTTTAAATTTAACACGTTTCACATATTCATGTAGCTTGACTAAAATATAATAACCGATTTCTTTTCCTTTTCGTACGGTATAACTTAATTATCACAATGACATAGTTTTTGCGTTTTATGATAAACAAAATTGAATTAAACATGTGGCAATACTTTCAGCAGTGGCCAAAAAAAAAATAACATTTCAAAAACAAAACAATAGTTAACACGATATCACATGCACATCCAGAGTTCGAGACAATTGCATAACATTTTAAATAATAATAAACAAAACAACTCAATATAGAATAAAATTTCGAAACGTCTGCATGCTTTTTTGGCACCGATTGCAAGTTGAAGAATCTTTTAAATGATCACAAAGTCGCTCAGGTTCCGCTCTGGCTGCACCATGCTGGCCGGCATGAGCTGTACCAGCTTGTTGAAAAGGTATGCTCGGCGGTTTTGCAGCTCACAGTTGGCTTCGGTGCGCGCACGCTTTGTGCACGACGAGCCACTGGGACTGGACGCCGGCTCTGATATACCCGAAGTCGCCAAGCTCTCGTTTGACTCTAGCGAGATATTTTCAGCGACACCCATTCCAACATTTTCTGTCATTTCAACTGAAATAGTTATTAAAGATATTAGTTACTCCATTTTATGCGGAAATTCATGAAAAGCTCACGTTTAGAGCTAACTCCCTCTACACCGTATCCTTCGGTTTCAGCACACAGCTCGGGTGTAGCTCTGGCACTTTCAGAGTCTTGGCTGTTGTCGTGTGGTTTGAAGAGCAGTGAAGCCAACTTGTGAAACTGTAATAACGTTACTTGTTTAAATATTTAACTGTATGATTACTAGCTTTTGCTTACATTGTTCAACTGTTCAGTGTCAGTGTGATCTATAACATCAGCGATATGATGTCTAAGATATTCCATCGCTTTTATTGGATCTGAGCGTGTCATTTCCTCATACCGAAGCTTACGCACCAAATAGCGGCAATGTTTCAATATCTCTTCGCGTTTTGGCCTATAAAATATACAATTAATAGGGATTCTTACTACTTTCAAGCGAATATGAGTTAAGTACTTTTCTAAGTGCAGCAACCAGAAGTCATCCAAGCGCAGTTGCTGGTATTGAAATATGCCTGGATTACCACCAAACAGATAATGCGTTTTTGCTACTTCATCGTACACCAACTGATGAGCATATCGTGGACATGGCTCCAGTACATCGTCGCCTTTGCTGGCACCCAAAAAGTTGGCCTTATTAATGGAGTTCACGTCCTGAGCATTGTGTCGGCAGTAATAGATGCGTGACCATTTATGGGTTCGCAAGGAGTAAACCCAAAACGAATTTGACGCATCTACATGATGCACATCGCGCCTGTCCTTAACCTTGTTGAGGCTCTGTGAAAGACACCAACTAGTTATGGAAAGAAACAGTGACGGAATTCACTAGCATACCGAGAATACGTAAATTTCATCGCGATCACAATCAATGGTAGCTCGCAATGTGTAGCCCGATGATGGCTCAAATTTGGCCTCAGTACTGGTATTGGTGCCGAGGTGCGAATGCTCCTTGTTTATCAGTGAAATGGCCTGTGACTCTACATCGTAAGTAAGCAGCTCGTCAAGATCCTCCTTCCCGCGCTGTCCACCGTAGATGTAAAGCTTTCGTTGTTTCTGCAAAGCATAAACATTTAAAATATAAATTTAATGTTATATCGGGAATATACATACATTATGGAAAACCATGCAGTGGGTAATGCGTGATTTAATTGACATAACATCCGCCTGCGATGCACTTGCATGATGACAATCTACGAGTATCTGCGTCCAAGTGTTTGTCGCAATATGATAAGAAAATAGGCCAGAGTATTCTGGCTCAGTCGAAGCCGTCGGGCTGCGCGGCGTCAGTATCTTGCCCCCGAACACATAAATCGTACGCTTATCGGCATCGATGCACATCTGGTGATCGTACACAAGCTGCGGGCCACCAACTTGACTGGTATCATCACAGATTGGCATCCAATTACAGGCACGGGTGTCGTACAAGTAAAAATCACTCTTGATGTAATCACTGGTGCGTATTGAGTTGTCCAAATAGCGGCCCAGTATGAAGATATTTTCGCGGATGGGATCAAAGACCAGTTTGTGACAGGAGCGCGGGGTAGGTCCATTGGATAGCTCGGAGCGCTCACAGAGCAGCGTCCATTCGTCCAGTTCAATGCTGTACACCCACAAGTCGCTAAGATCTTGGTAGCCATCCCAACCACCATACAAATATATTAGGCGCTTTTTGGCATCGACCACCAACTGGTGGCCACCACGGTTTCCAGGCTTTATCTCGCTTTGAGTGTACTTCATTTGCCAGTGATGCTTATAGTCTTGCTTATTTAAATACTCATCCATTAGGCCGTCATCAATGCACTTTACAATGAAGCGCTCCGCCTGCTCGAAATCGCCTTGCACCACCTGCGATGAGAGAATTTTAATAAATGTATCCTCGTTTCGAATCCAATAATAATAATTACCAAGTATTTATGCAATTCGCTAATGAGTGGATGCTCGAGACGCACATTTGTCTGTTCCTGTAGCGCCCCAAAGGCTTTCATATAACCCTGCTGACGGAAGTGCTTGAGACACAGCTTGATAATCTCAGTTTCACGTAGCGTATTGTAGCTCTTCATCCGTGCACACGTGTACATGGGATCATCCTGGCCATGCAGTTCGATGTACCAGATACTGAAATTGAACGATGGTCCCCAAGACAACAATGGCACTATCTTCAGATAGAGAATGGGCAGATTTTCGGCGCCATCCTCAGTCATGCACCGCAAATTGAATACTTCAGGTATATTATCATTTTTAAGACCACTGCAAAAAATCGAAATACTATATAAAGTAAAGATTCAAGAATTATAGAGCATTTATAGTTACATACGCTTCTAGCAAGAGCACCATGTGCTCATCTTCCAATCCACCAAACACGCGAAACTTCTTTATATTGCACACGTGCGATTTCTCAAATTTACCAAATTTAATCTTTTGAACAATGGCGGGACGTCGGAGCTTTAGTGTGAGAAACTGCGGTGGGCTGTTCGTGTATGCGGACCAACGTGATGTTTGATCATTTGGGCAGTCGACGAGAACGTTTCTGAAATCCGCAAACGAAAACAAACTGTAAAAATACCCACAACATTGACAACGGCGACAGCTGCGCACTTGTCAACAATTACGAAACGCATGATATGGGCGGGAGGCGTCTCTTATGCACCTACATACATATCTGCTCATATATACACACGTACATTCACTCACACTCTTGCCAAGATCAATACATTTGCATGATTGCATTTACAGTTAAAGAAACAACACCAATGACTTACTCAGGCAAATAATTTGGGGAATAGCTGGAGTAACGGTATATCTCGAAATTTAACCGTTCAGAGAGCGTAAAGGGTTTCTGCGTATTTGTCCCTGGCAGCACGGGCACAGCACCATATGACATTGCTAGAGAGCCATTAGAACTGCCCGTTGGACTCGATGTGGTAGTCGTCGATGTTGACATCTTTGTTAAAACTTGAACACTTGTAGTGCAGGTAAATTTGTTTAGCGACTTTATAACTTAATTCTATTACCGGCTATGCAAAATAACAAAATACCAATTGTCGTGCAATTCTTAAGTTATATTATGGCATTCACAACAAAGCGACGACAAAATCAGCCAACCAACTATTATTGCGAGTGCTCCACACATGACGAAAGTTGATCGACTCTTATCGAAGATTCTTTTTTACTGGTTCCAGTAAAATCTAAGCAAATCACGGTGTGGTCAGTGGCAAATTAAGCCCACATATTTATATATTACTTTTTAAATTATTTAAATAAATCCATTTTAACCATAAGAATCATATTTATTCATTAGAAATATAATTTTATATATTTTATAATGAATTCTCCACGCACTACACTTGGGACCACTTGTTAATATAACGATGTATTTATCGATCCTTATCGATAGAGTCACGAAAGCATTTTCCATCTCTAGTCTTTCGTTGTGTATTTACGAACAGTTGCATTTCTTGCTGTGTTCTGGAGAAATTATTGAGTACCGGTTTTTTATTATTGTTTAATTTTGTAATGTCTTTTGATGCTATACCTAAGGATTTGCGCGGGCTACGCGCCTGCCTTGTATGCTCCCTTGTAAAGGTATGTATTACAAATTTGATTAGGACAAGCCAACATATTTTAGTTTGCTCGTTCCTTTCCCATAGACCTTCGATCAATTTGAGACTGATGGCTGCGAAAATTGCGAAGAGTTTCTACGTATGAAGAATAACAAGGATAATGTTTATGATCACACAAGCAACAATTTTGATGGCATCATTGCTCTGACAACACCCACAGACTCGTGGGTAGCAAAATGGCAACGACTTTGTAAGCAAATCACAATTAAACGCTTAGACATAATATAAATATTTATTTTCTACCTTTACAGCACGCTTCACGCGTGGCATTTACGCCATCTCCGTATCGGGAACCTTGCCACAATCGACCATCCGCGAAATGAAGAACCGGGGAATTGCATACAAGTCAAGAGATAGAAGTCAGCGCTAGCCGGGGAATATTACGATTGGCGTATAAAAATGTAGTTTATTTTAAGCAATAACAAAACCAAGAAAATACAACTAGAATAAAATACAGTTTTAAGTGAACACGCTATCAATTATCCAGAGAGCTCACACGCAGTCCATCGCCGCCAGCTGTAGTGACATGTACACCAAAGCCAGCAACTTCCAACTCCGCCTTTAGTTTCCAGTATACCTCGTTGCACTCGTACTTCTCGGGCAGCAAAACAATGGCATAGCCACCAGCACCAGCGCCCGTCATCTTGGAGAAGAATCCACGCTTGAACGCAATTGTAAATATTTGCTCCAGTTTCGGATGTGTAACGCCAATTGCCTTGAGCAGATCGTTGTTTATTTGAAAGAGACGCTCGAGCTTCTCGAACTTCTCACTGTCGTCTTGCCCATTTCCAAAGCTTTCGTACAGTGGCACGGCGGAATTAACAAGTTGTTCACAAGCTTCCCAGATGGCGTCGATTAGCAGTGGGAACTCTTCGCTCAAGTGACGAACCTTCGCCACAATATCAGCAGTGCTGCGGCCCACACGGCTATCGACCAGTAAGATGTTGAGCGGTTTCTGTATGCGCAACGCCTGAAATCCTTGGCCCCTGACGAAGCGTAGAATTCCTCCATACGTGCACACTGTGTTATCCACGCCGGAGGGCGTGCCATGATTCACGCGCTCCGATTCGTATGCCCAATGCGAAATCAAAGCTAAATTCTCCTCTTGCAAATAGCTCTTCTCATCGAAATGACCAGCCAAAATGAGGAAAGCCGCTGCCAAGGCAGACCCGTAAGACGCCGAGCTGCCCAAGCCGGCACCCACATTAAGCTCTGAATCCACTTGCACCTGGAAGCCCTGGGAAAGTTTCAGATTGGGTTCTATGGGTGACGTGAGTACAGCGCCTGCTAGTAGGTAGTATATTGAAGTGAACGCTCGTTGGTTCTGCGCTTTGGGTGTGCCCACATTACGTTCCATTTCCTTAGCCAATTCTGCGCGCACCTCCTCCAACAGTTTAGCGGTGCTCTCCAACTTGTCGCCGGGATATTTGGAGCGAAAGCTATCCAGAAAGGCATTAAAGTTACTCAATTTGATTTCCAGAGTGGAGTTGAGAGACTTCAGCTGAAAGATGGCCACCTGACTGTCTGCCACTGAGCGAAACTGAAGCGTGGTGCCTAGCCCAACGACTGCAGCCAGTGCGGGCTTTTGATATACAACAGCGTGCTCTCCATGAAGAATAACCTTGCCAGGAGAGTGCACCTGGAACTTCATCATTGTTTCTGTTGAAACGCAAATATATCTGTTTTTAGATATTTGAATATCTAATGAGTGCCCTCGAGTTCATACAAGATGGCGGCAGCAAGGGTCACTGGAGATCAGGTTCTCGCTTTATTTATAGTATGTATGCTTGAATCAGATTTTATGTAATGCTACGCGAAATTTTGCGTGTTTACTGTTACTCCGTTCATCGGGTGTTTCCCTTTCACTTTCTTTGTTCAACTGTTTTAAGTTTCGACTGCTCTGATGTTGTTGACGTTGGCTGGCTAAATCGGCTACACACACACATGTATGCGTGTACAGGTTTTTGGACTCCGCAGTGAAGTAACTGGTTACGGTTGCTACTGCTCTAGCTATTGCTGTTGCACTTTCTCCCACTCAGCTGGTGTGTATGATTTTTGCGAGAAAGCGTGTATTTCCTTAAGTTCTTCGGCGAGCGTCGTGTTAACTCTTAAATCAAAATTATATTATTTATATATTTTAACATTTAAGTACAGAGCGAATTACAATCTGTGCTTCTGCAGGAGTGCTTTCCCTTCAAATGCCTTAGAGACAATAATAGCACTGAATTTTCCACCACATCCGTCAGATTCGTCTGTTACCTGCACATAGGTTGCGTCAAGTTTTTCTTTAAGCTTGTCTTCCAGATACTTCGAGGTATACTTGCTCATTTTGAATAATTTTATTTTAATTTATTTCCCTTACAAATTACTGAATGCGAAACGAGGCCGTCTCTAGCGGCAAATTATCGAAATTAGAAGATTACTTTTTTAATAAGGTAAAACGTCACAAGCAACCAAAATGAGGTCCGCAGAAAGCATTAGTATGCAAATCGTAAAATTGAGCCGCAGGGTCGTTTTTTTTTTAATAAACACGTAAAAATGAGAATTAAATTATAAAATTACTGACAGTATGGGTGTGAATTGTACATCATTATGAAAATAATTATTTATGACGTCACAAAGTCAATATGTGATGATTCTTGACATTTTAGTTATTGTTCTATCCGATGAAAATATCGTACTGAAATTATTATTATTTTTTTTTTAATATATCGATTGTTTGACAAGGCCAAGTCTATCGAAACCTTCTCCTTCCCAATACAGCATTGTTGAGCGTGTTGATAGCGCCAAAATTTCTCGTTTTTAGTTTTATTTTACAATTCGTTTTTAATTAAAAAGCATTTCACATCTGTTCAGACCTAAGTGAGGAATATAAACAGAAGCGTTGAATAATAGTCATTATGTCATTCTTTGGTGGCAACACATCTTTGGGTGCGACAAGCACGCCGGCTAAACGTAAGTAGACATCGCATTTCATTCTTCAGGTGGGAATGACACGAAAAATGCATGCGGTATTTGAATATAATTCCGGTCAAGCTCTTTTCGCCAAATAGCGTTGGGGACCAGAATTTGAAGGCAAAGTGAGCAACTTCTTTGCATCCTGAAAGTTGCTCACACGTATTTCCTTTGGATTAATTCTAAAATGTATGAGATATATCATTATTCAAAAAGTAATGAGAAATCAGCAACAAGACTGGACTTACTCCTTTTTGTGAATAACGTAACCGACATAGGCAACGCAAACCAGCAGAAATACTAGAAATACAATGAGTAATGACATAGTGGGAAAAACAAACACATCTGCTGCTGTCCAGCTTTTATAGTATACTAAGTCTTAACCCTCACTTAACACATCTTTCGAGCTGATAAGATATGTTACGCGGAAGCTGGACCAGCAACAAAACATTTCAAGCATTGACCCCTTTTTATTATACTTATCTATTCTGGGGACAGCGGGCGGTATGTTTGGCTCAGCGTTTGGTGCGACAAGCGGAGCTGCGGCACCGGCATTTGGAAGCAATATATCAACGCCTGCGTTTGGTACCGCACCCACAGCTTTCGGTGCTCCAACAAGTGCGCCCGCTGCAACACTGGGCGGTGGATTTGGTGGCTTTGGCACGGCAGCACAGACAAACCAGTCCAGTTTATTTTCTACGCCCGCAAGCTCAGCCCCGCCTGCTTTCAGTGGATTTGGACAGCTACCAACGTCGAGCAACGCGCCTGCTAGCGGATTCTCAGGATTTGGAGCAACAACGACTACCACACCATCATTTGGTGGCTTTGGCGCCAGCCAGACGTCAGCATTTGGTGGTAGCACTTTCGGATCAGGTAAAATTGCCTAAATTCCGTTCAGAGAATATATATATTAATTATAGTAATTATTGTTGCAGCTTTCGGAAAACCAGCTGCGCCGACAGTCACGCCCGGCTTTGGAGGCTTTGGCGGTACAAACTTTATGTTGGGACAGCCACAGCAGCAGCCTGTGCCAATTTCAGCAGATGAAGCGTTTGCACAGGCCATTCTAAATGTCGCCATCTTTGGCGATGAGCGTGATAATATTGTAGCCAAATGGAACTATCTGCAGGCAATGTGGGGCACTGGCAAACTGTTTTACTCCCAAAGTGCAGCACCAGTGGACATTACGCAGGAGAATTACTTATGTCGTTTTAAAGCTATTGGCTACAGTCGCATGCCTGGCAAGGACAACAAGCTGGGGCTTGTCGCACTCAACTTTGATCGAGACTTAGCAACGATTAAGTGAGTGCTAACAGCCTATCTGAATGTTACTTTCATTAATTTGGGTATCTTTGCATTTATAGGACGCAACAGCAGCAGATTGTACAAACCCTGCACAGTTTAATGGGCAGCAAGCCACATCTTTTGGTTCACATCGACGTTCTCAAAGAGCTGGAGAACAAAAAGTGCCAAATGGTTATCTATGTGGAGGAGAAAGTGCAGATTCCGCATGGTCCACATGATAGCAAGCGAATACTTGCCACTGAGCTGGCCACTTATTTAAATCAGGCAACAGTGAAGCCACAGTTGACGAATCTGGGATTGACGGAAGCCTTGGCACTTACGCTACCCGATGAGGATCAATTGAAAGAATACCTAGAGAATCCCCCGCGCAGCGTTGACCCACGCATGTGGCGGCAAGCAAATTTAGACAATCCAGATGCCACTCAATTTATACCTGTGCCCATGATTGGTTTCAACGATTTGAAATGGCGTGTCAAATGCCAGGAACAGGAGACAGATACGCATGCGCTGTACATGAAGAAAGTGGAAGGAGAGTTACAGGAACTGCGGCGACGCCATGCTTCCGCAACAGCCAGGATAATGGAACACAAACGGAAGCTAGCTGAAATGAGCCATCGCATACTTAGGGTAAGCGAGTAACAATTTGAAATCTTTAAATGCATGCTAAATTATAAAATTTCTTCCACAGATCGTTGTGAAACAAGAATGCACCCGCAAGGTGGGCACAACATTGACGCCTGAGGAGGAGGCACTGCGCACTAAGCTGCAGAATATGCAGGCTGTTGTTTCTGCGCCCACTCAGTTCAAGGGCCGGCTGAGCGAGCTACTCTCCCAGATTCGGATGCAGCGCAGCCAATTTTCTAGCACTGGCCTGCCGGAATATGCATTAGATAAAAGCGCCGAAGATGAGATGAGAAGCATAATGACAATGCAGCAGCGCGCCATGGAAGTGCTGAAAGAAACAGTTAACAAAGATATGGAAGCACTGGATATTATCATAAAAGGGTTGCCCGAGTTACAGCAAACATGATGCCGAAATTATATAGTTGTTTGTCTAATATAGAGTCAATGAACAAGATGTAATCGTTACAAATTGTTAATGCTTTTTTGTTGCTATTGCCACCGGTCTAGTATTTCCTGTAACTTTGAACTTGCACTTTTACGGCTGGCACGATAGAAAATATAACAAATGTGTTTGGCTCTCGTTGCAACAATCGAAACGAGTTCACATCTCACGCTGCGGAAATTATGTGAACGACAATTTTGTACACTAACTTAGAGTGGGTATAATACATTTGTTTATGCATTGATAATATCTAAAATAGATTTCTAATTTGTGGAAATTAGAAATTTATTAAGTCAGAAATTGTAGAAATTTGATTAATTAATATGTAGAATGTCAGTGCGAAGTACGAAAAAAGTATATTATTATTGGATGTAGCTATATAAAGAATGTGGAAAATATTTTGAAAAACTTGTAATCTATTTCAAGTTGGGAAATTTGTTAGAGTATTCTGAATTCGTCTACCCAAGCAGCTGCATTGTTTTTGTCATAACGTTTACACACTGTTAAAGTCAATGCACTTGGTGCAAGCGGCCGACTTTTCTTTGGGATTGGACAATTTTGCAGCGATTACTTGACCATTTGACGCAATTTCGCTCGTTGCCTCTGGCTGCAACGAACTCATTACCAGTGACAAACTCACACCCAGTTTGTTCAACTTCAGGTTGTTCGTCGCTTGGGTTGTTACATTAACATTATTATGCAGCCAGGCGTGTGTGCGTATGTATGTGTGTATGCGTGTGTGTGGAGTTGTCTCGTTATATATTTATTTCTTTTGCACTGGGAAAACTCGTTTTCCAGCTAACTGTGCCTGGAGTGCAGTTGTTGCTATTGTTGATTGTGGAGACTTCCGAGAGCTTCCGTTTTAAGACTGGGAAAATGGAAAATGATTGCAGTGTGTGGAGTATAAATGAATTCGCTGTGTCCAGGCCGCCTTACTCATTGTGCGATCTTTGCAACGGCAACTGACGACAGCTGCTCCAACAACGTATATGGACTAATAATAGCTAAGCTACAAGAGCTACAGAAAACTCGCCATGTCGAATGGGTCATTGATAGTGAGTGTGCCTGGAGTTGCAGCCGTAAGATCTGCTGCCTAAAACACTCGTCTCTCCCTCTTCTTCTCTCTCCTTTAGTTGCTGTTGTGGGCATTTTGCTCAAGTGTGGCGGCCACGCCCACGTCATCAATAGCACAGCGTCGTGCACAGCTGCAGGAGGATGTGCAGCTATTGCATCCGCAAATCATAACTATTGAACGGCTGGAGCATTTGCTCCGGCGTGCAGGTGAAATATTTGGTCCGGTTGCCCAGGTCGCAGACTCTGAATCCGCTGGCAGTCAACTGGAGCCGCAGGTAGAGATGCAGGTGCAGCCACAGCAGTACATGCTTCCACCCACAGATCAGCCCTATAATTTCTACTTGCCGCTCTACGATTACATTGATCCCAAGCTGGACGCCAAGAGTCGGCACATGGAGAAAATTGCGCCGCCGCCACAGAGATTGCAACAGGAGCACAATTATTACGCCGACAAGCCAAAGAAGACGCCGAAGAAGTTCAATGCGGCCGCCAAGCACGTCAATCTCAAGTGGCTCAACACATACGAGAAGGCAATGGGCGGAGTTGCACCAAAGGCAATCTATTTGGAGCAGGATGAGCGCAATCGCATCAACTTTGATGACTCCTTCTTCGCGGTTGATATGCACGTGAAGACGCCCGACAATCAGCCCCACAAGGAGTCAGGCGCCGTGCCCGCCGAGTTGCTGCAGCACGGCGAACAGCTGGCCGAGGATGATCTGATGGCCGCGCCTGCCCAACTCACATACAGCTACAAGCCAACGGAAGCAATGAAGCAGCCTGTTTAGCGGTGCACTGCGACCAGAACAACTGTTATTTAATTGTAGTCGGTTACAAAAATACAAAAATATATTTATACATGTAACATATTAATTACTCAATTAAGGGGATAAATGCTCAGTAGACCAAACAAAGTGTTTAGTTCAATCATAATTACGTGTAAGGCTTCATTTGGGAATGCTTCGTGTGGCAATCAGAGTTTGCTGTCAGTTAAGCGTGTTGGGCGATGCCCTCGCGCACAACTCTTTCAATATCATCGAGCAGACCCGAGGCACCGAATCGGAAAAGTTCGGGCTGCAGCCAGTTCATGCCGAGAGTATTCTGGATCAGCGTCATCCAGGCAATGGCGTCCTGCACAGTTCGTACACCTCCCGCTGGCTTCAGGCCCACAATTTGTTGAGTGCGTCGCTTGAACTCCTGTATGGCATATATCATGACCAGGCCAACGGTCAGTGTCGCATTCACCGCCTCCTTGCCTGTGGATGTCTTGATGAAGTCGGCTCCTGCCAGCATGCACACCATAGAAGCTTTATATACCTGCAAATAATAAATAGGCGAGTGAGATTGGGATGATCTGAGATAATCTGAGATGGATACTAACATTTTCCATGGAGCCCAGTTCACCAATAGCCAGGATGGTCTTTAGATGTGCACGATTGCCACAGGCCTTTCGCATCTGGACCACTTCGTTGTATACGCCTTCCCAGTCGCCCACCAGCGCCAGTGGTCGATTGATGACGATATCAATCTCTGTAGCACCCGATTCAATAGCGTAGTTGATTTCCTCCAGACGTGATTTCAAACTATATTGGCCGGTAGGGAAACCAGTGGCAACAGCAGCTATTGCTATCTCATTTAATTTGTCAAGCTGCTTCAGTGCCTTGTACGCGTCTGCCACACGCGCGGGATAGACGCAAACAGCAGCACAATGAATGTCTGGGAGCAAACTCTCCTCCACAGCTTTCTCAAGAAGTTGAGGTTCAAAGGGCAAACTCGCCCGCACACAAAGCCGCCTCACATTGGAGGCTGTATCATCTCCAGCCAGGGTGGTCAGATCTGTTAGCATTAAAGCTTTGAGAGCCCACGCGACTTCATAATCACCCGTCA